CCACTGTCTTCAAGAACCTGGCAAGACTGTTACAATGATCCTGTGAATCGAAAATCCCTAGGACAATCTACATATGAAACTCCATTTCCACACATTGCCCTGGAAGGGCTTGGGTCTGTATGATTAATTATGCACAAACCCTGATTTCTGGGGTCCCATTCCTGCACCTACTGTATTTTAAAAGCCCTAGCCATTCATCGACCTCTTCACACTTTTTAAACAATTATTTTGCTATGTATGAGACTTGGAACCTTTTCAGCACAGGTACTGGAGACAGCTTCAGGATTTCTTTGACTGTCAATCCTGAGAACTCATCCACCCATCTAAATAAGTTTACAACTCCTGACTCAAATGCTTTATTCACACAGAAGTCCTGCTTGATTGAAGACCACAGTGTGTGTACTGGTTGTGGGTTTGGGTTAAAAAAAATCATTCTAGGGTCCCATAAAAATCAGAGTAGAAAAAAAATTCATAGAGGAAAACAAACTAGAGGATTCTGGAAAACATCATCTTAATGTCTTCCTTTTTCCTCCATCTCTGCGTCCTTTACATTTAAGAAAGAGGAAGGAAGCAGGAGATTGAAAGCAAAGCTCTAATGGGAAACAGTATTTTGTCCTTGCATTAATGATTAATTCCTCCGCTGGTGGGCCAGGCTGACCTCCCCGTGACAACCACGTGCCCCAGGGCTTTTCTCCTGGGAGGCCAAGTTGGTGGTACTGTAGTGGGTGTCACTCCATAAAATTCAGCCACTTGAGCTTGGAGGATGAAGGCTGAAAGTTCAACCCAGCTGAGACCTTCCCTGGGCCGTGCCAACTAAGTAGTCCTACTCTGTCTTCCCCATAATGTTGAAGGATCGAGGCCGCCTGATTATCAAGCCTGGAAATGATTTACCATCCGCCCCCTCCCCCCACCCCCGTTTGAGCCTTTTGATGTACTTTGCATGTTTCTCTGTCACACACGTGCCACAGCAGAACAGATTTTGTTTTGACATTATTTTGGTTCGTGATGTTATACTTTGACTATTTTACAATAATAGCCAACGTAAACAAACATCTTTGGGATTCTCAAATTATTACTTATGATTCTTGGACATCGCAGGCTCTTCGATCTTCACACATTCCTCTGCTTTTCCCAAGGACACCGTATGTTACCATCCACTACAGCATCTCGGTCTGGGGCTGGATGCTAAAGTGGCTCCAGAGTGGCTTCAGCAGCGCCTTTTGTATCCTGCTGTAGTAAAACTGCTAAATATGGTGAAAGTTTTCTGGTGTTGCTTTCTTTAGCCGCCTCATGGAGTCCAGTCAGCCTGGCCCTGTTGAATTCGATTCTATTGGCAAGCTACGTGGTTTTGCATTCATTTAAAGATCATTTCTCAGAAAGCTGTATAAGTTAAGGATTTTTTACAAAAAGGCTTGAGTTACTAGTTGTCTCAGCAAGGCCAAGCTGAAATCACCTTTAAAATTATGTTTTGGCGAGTGTTTGATAAGGAGGGGACATTCAGGTTGGAGCATTTTGGGGGCGATCTTAAAAGGCATTGAAAAATCTGCCGATTGGTGTCTATGTGAGTTTGCGTTTGAGGCTCTGAAGTTCACATGGTCCCAGCTGCAGGAAGGGCTGGATCCGTGGGTGGTGGAAAGGTGCGAACGGCTTCCGGCGGGGGTTGGGGTGTGTGGGTGGCGATCCCGGCCTCTCTGGCTCACCTACTGGGCTGTCTCCGCGTTGACGGATACACAGCGGGTGCTTTTCAGGTTCCCCAAGCTCAGTTCCGCGGCTTGCAGTCCCTGCCGGCGCCCCCCAACCCCAGCCAGGCCGCTGGCGGTAATGAGAAGCAGCTCGGCGCGACGATCTTGGCCAGGATCCACGCGTGGGGGATGCCACGGGGAGGGGGCGCGAGCGAGGTCCTCCCTGCACATCTGGCGCAGTGGGGCGCGCTCGCCTTTCTCCCCCCCACCCCCACTTGGTTTTGTTCTCACAGCTCTGTCCTTTCCGCCCGTGACCCCCCGAGCGATCCCTGACAGGTGATGAATTGGCAGCGGCGGCGCGCAGGGCCGGGCCGCGGCGGGGCTGGAGCCGGAGCCCCGGAGCAGACTCTCCGGCGCCAGGCGCG